ACCCTCTGTCTGTCCTTGTTTACCCTCTGTCCTTGTCTACCATTGTCTGACCTCTACCCCACTGTCCTTGTCCTTGAGGAAGTAGGTGAAGGGAGGGAATGGGAGGGGAAAGAGGGAATGAGGGTAGCGGAGGAAGGGGAAGATGAGGGGGAAAGGAGGGATAGAGGGAGGGAGGAAGTGAGAGGGGAAAAGGGAGGGGGAGGATGAGGAGGGGAGTAGGAAGGGAGGTGGAGTAATGAGGGAAGGGGAGGGGAGTGAGTTGAAGGTGGGGAGAGAGGGAAGGGAGGGGAGTGAGTGAGGGAGGGGAAAGAGGGAAGGGTGGGAGGGAGGGGAGTGGGAAGGAGGGTGGGGAGGAGGAGAGGGAAGGGGAGGGGGAGTGAGTGAAGGGAGGGGAAGAGGGAGGGGAGTGAAGGGAGGGGAAAGAGGGAAGGGGAGGGGAGTGTGAGAGGAGGGGAAGAGGGAAGGGGAGGGGAGTGAGTGGAAGGGAGAGGAAGAGGGAGGGGTGGGAGTGAGTGAGGGAGGGGAAAAAGAGGGGAGGGGGAGTGAGTGAAGGGAGGGGAAGAGGAAGGGGAGGGGAGTGAGTGAAGGGAGGGGAAAGAGGGAAGAGGAGGGGAGTGGTGAAGGAGGGTAAGAGGAAGGGGAGGGGAGTGAGTGAAGGGAGGGGGAAGAGGGAAGGGGAGGGGAGTGAGTGAAGGGAGGGGAAAGAGGGAAGGGGAGGGGAGTGAGTGAAGGGAGGGGAAAGAGGGAAGGGGAGGGGGAGTGAGTGAAGGGAGGGGAAAGAGGGAAGGGGAGGGGAGTGAGTGAAGGGAGGGGAAAAGAGGGAAGGGGAGGGGAGTGAGTGAAGGGAGGGGGAAAGAGGAAGGGGAAGTGAGTGAAGGGGGTGGAACGAGGGAAGGGAGGGGAGTGAGTGAAGGGAGGGGAAAGAGGAAGGGGAGGAGTGAGTGAAGGGAGGGGAAAGAGGGAAAGGGGAGGGGAGTGAGTGAAGGAGGGGATAAGAGGGAAGGGGATGGGAGTGAGTGAAGGAGGGGAAGAGGGAAGGGGAGGGGAGTGAGTGAAGGGAGGGGAAGAGGGAAGGGAGGGGAGGGGAGTGAGTGAAGGGAGGGGAAAGAGGGAAGGGGAGGGGAGTAGGAGTGAGTGAAGGGAGGGGAAAGAGGGAAGGGGAGGGGAGTGAGTGAAGGGAGGGGAAAGAGGGAAGGGGAGGGAGTGAGTGAATGGGAGGGGAAATGAGGGAGGGAGGGGAGTGAGTGAAGGGAGGGGAAAGAGGAAGTGGATGGGGAGTGAGTGAAGGGAGGGGAAAGAGGGAAGGGGAGGGGAGTGAGTGAAGGGAGGGGAAAGAGGGAAGGGGGAGGGGAGTGAGTGAAGGGAGGGGAAAAGGGGAGGGGAGTGGAGTGAAGGAGGGGGGAAAGAGGGAAGGGGAGGGGAGTGAGTGAAGGGAGGGGAAAGGGAAGGGGAGGGGAGTGAGTGAAGGGAGGGAAAGAGGGAGAGGGAGGGGAGTGAGTGAAGGGAGGGGAAAGAGGGAAGGGGAGGGGAGTGAGTGAAGGGAGGGGAGAGGAAGGGGAGGGAGTGAGTGAGGGAGGGGAAAGAGGGAAAGGGGTGGGGAGTGAGTGAAGGGAGGGGAAAAGGGAGGAGGGGAGGGGAGTGAGTGAAGGGGGGGAAGAGGAAGGGGAGGGAGTGAGGAAGGGGGGGACAGGGGAGGGAGTGAGGAGGAGGGGAAGAGGGAAGGGAGGGGAGTGAGTGAAGGGAGGGAAGAGAGGGAAGGGGAGGGGAGTGAGTGAAGGTGGAGGAAAGAGGGAAGGGGAGGGGAGTGAGTGAAGGGAGGGGAAAAGGGGAAGGGGAGGGGAGTGAGTGAAGGGAGGGGGAAAGAGGGAAGTTGAGGGGAGTGAGTGAAGGGAGGGGAAGAGGAAGGGGAGGGGAGTGAGTGAAGGGAGGGGAAAGAGGGAAGGGGAGGGGAGTGAGTGAAGGGAGGGGAAAGAGGGAAGGGGAGGGGAGTGAGTGAAGGGAGGGGAAAGAGGGAAGGGGAGGGGAGTGAGTGAAGGGGGGGGAACAAGGGGAGGGGAGTGAGTGAAAGGGAGGGGAACAAGGGGAGGGGAGTGAGTGAAGGGAGGGGAAAAGAGGGAAGGGGAGGGGGAGTGAGTGAAGGGAGGGGAAGAGGGAAGGGGAGGGGATGAGTGAAGGGAGGGGAAAGAGGGATAAGGGGAGGGGAGTGGTGAGGGAGGGGATAGAGGGAAGGGGAGGGAGTGAGTGAAGGGAGGGGAAAGAGGGAAGGGTGGGGGGGAGTGAGTGAAGGGAGGGGAAAAGGGGAGCGGAGAGATGAGGGAGGGAGGGGAAAGGGGAGGGGAGTGAGTGAAGGGAGGGGAACAAGGGGAGGGGAGGAGTGAGTGGGGAGGGGAAAGGGGAGGGGGGTGAGTGAAGGGAGGGGAAAGAGGGAAGGGGAGGGGAGTGAGTGAGGGAGGGGAACAAGGGGAGGGGAGTGAGTGAGGGAGGGGAAAAGGGGAGGGAGTGAGTGAAGGGAGGGGAAAGAGGGAAGGGGAGGGGATGTGAGTGAAGGGAGGGGACAAGGGGAGGGGAGTGAGTGAAGGGAGGGGAAAAAGGGAGGGGGAGTGAGTGAAGGGAGGGGAAAGAGGGAAGGGGAGGGGAGTGAGTGAAGGGAGGGGAAAAGGGGAGGGGAGTGAGTGAGGGAGGGGAACAGGGGAGGGGATGGTGAGTGAAGGAGGGGAACGGGGAGGGGAGTGAGTGAAGGGAGGGGAAAGAGGGAAGGGGAGGGGAGTGAGTGGGAGGGAAAGGGAGGGGAGGGGAAGAGGGAGTGAGTGAAGGGAGGGGAACAAGGGGAGGGGAGTGAGTGAAGGGAGGGGGAAAGAGGGAAGGGGAGGGGGAGTGAGTGAAGGGAGGGGAACAAGGGGAGGGGGAGGGGTGAGTGAAGGGAGGGGAACAAGGGGGAGGGGAGTGAGGAAGGGAGGGGAACAAGGGAGGGGAGTGAGTGGAGGGAGGGGAAAGAGGGAAGGGGGGGGAGTGAGTGAAGGGAGGGGAAAGGGGAAGGGGAGGGGAGTGAGTGAAGGGAGGGGAACAAGGGGAGGGGAGTGAGTGAAGGGAGGGGAACAGGGAGGGGAGGGGAGTGAGTGAAGGGAGGGGAAAGAGGGAAGGGGAGGGGAGTGAGTGAAGGGAGGGGAACAAGGGGATGGGAGTGAGTGAAGGGAGGGGAAAGAGGGAAGGGGAGGGGAGTGGGGTCCTAAGTATTTAATTTTAATGAACGTTTTGTGTACATTTTTGGTGTGTATGTATTACGTGTATGTTTGTATTGTGTGTGTGTGTGTGTGTGTGTGTGTGTGTGTGTGTGTGTGTGTGTGTGTGTGTGTGTGTGTGTGTGTGTGTGTGTGTGTTAAAATGTCATAGATAACACACAGGAAAGTTTTCCACTATCTGTGTTTGTGGCAACATTGGCGTCAACACACACGCAGCACCAACCAGATTATAAACCCACAGGAGCACACTGTATTGCACTTCATGACGGGCGAGTAGTGCAGGCTCGAGCCTCTGTCCTCTGCTTGTTGAAACCTGCACTGTAAGCAGTAAGACCTAACGGAAAACGAATCCTCTGAAGAGGACCCCAGTTGAAGGTCAAGATAAAAGTGGCAATGTCACTCCTGCTACTACTACTACTACTACTATTACAACTAGTATTACTAGGACTGCTACTATTGTAAGGAATACTGCTATTACCAGACTAGTAATACAAGGACTACTACTATTACTACTACTACAACCACCACAATTACAATTACTACAACCACCACCACCACTAATACTACAACCACCACCACCACTAATACTACAACCACCACCACCACTAATACTACAACCACCACCACCACTAATACTACAAACCACCACCACCACTAATACTACAACCACCACACCACTAATACTACAACCACCACCACCACTAATAATACAACCACCACCACCACTAATACTACAACCACCACCACCACTAATACTACAACCACCACCACCACTAATACTACAACCACCACCACCCACTAATACTACAACCACCACCAC